AAAAAATTTTTATATACTTTTTATTTATATTTTTGCAGACGAAGATGATAATGACACTCTTATGAATTACGAAGAACATATGTTATGGCTAAAAAATAATTGTAGACCATGGGAGACAGTGACTGAGTACTGGTCTTTGACTTCGAAGAAACGATTGAAAGACCTTCAAAGTAATACTACTCAGTCTTGTCAGGAATATATGTATCAGTTTCCAGCCCTTTCTGATCCTTCAGGCTTCGTATTATTGAGTTCGACATGATTTAATTTCTTTAATTATTAATTACTAAATTTATTTCTTGAATTTATAAAAGCATTGACAAAAGAAACAAATGGAAAAACATAAGTTTATAACTCTTTAAGCAATTATAAGTTTGTACCTTAATTGTTTAAAGAGTTATGAACTTATGTTTTTCCATCTGCTTCTATAAGTATTTCTTTTCTCAATGACTTTTATAAATGTAAATATATTGTGAATAAACATACATTGAACATTATACATTAATGGATAATGGAAATAATTTTGCGTGTATGTATTTGTGTGTGTGTGTATGTATGTGTGTGTATGTGTGTGTATGTATGTGTGCACATATGCGTACGTGCATGTGTGCATGTGTATACTGAAAAAAGTAATTGAATATGTTATTGCGAGGTGCCAACGAAATATATACTCATTGCAATAATATTTGCTATTGCAATGTTAATATCTTCATTCATTCAATCAATTATGATGTTAACATTGCAATAGCGAATATTATTGCAATATATTTCGTTGGTACCCCGCAATAACATATTTATTTCTTTCAATTACTTTTTCTCAGTGTATGTGCATGTATATATTGTACGTACACATATATATACACATACATATTAATATATAAAATATTTAATATTTTTGTTTAATGTTTTTGTGTCACTTTTAGCTGGAGAACGATTTTGAAACGTTATATCCAGATCATAAGTTAAAATTATATGTTAATTGGCCAAAACTATCAAGTTTTGTAATGAATAAAGTGACGACTAAACTGAAAAATCGTTTCAATGACGTCTTTTTACCAGGTTAGATATTTTTTAATCTTTTACAATGAAGCGTTTTTACTTTCAATATTTTTTATATAAATATTCATATTTTTCGATAGATGGTGTAAAAATTGTAACTTTATCGTTGATGCCTCATTTATTCCCTATGAATACAATAAAAACAACAAAGCACAAAATTGGAGGCCCTCTAGAAAAGAATCTGAAGAAGGATTTATTTTGCACATAAAGGTAAGAATAAAAGTAAAAAATAATTTTTTAAATTAAAGGCACAGTTTCACACTGAGACAAAAAGTAAGACAAAATATTTGCTATTGCAATGTTAACATCGTAATTGATTGAATTAAGATGTTAATATTGCAATAGTGAATATTATTGCAATATTAACATCTTAATTCAATCAATTACGATGTTAACATTGCAATAGCAAATATTTTGTCTTACTTTTTGTCTCAGTGTGAAACTGTGCCTTTAATTTAAAAAATTATTTTTTACTTTTACAAGTATAAATTCGTTAGCACCCTGCAATGACATTTATTTCATTTAATTACTTTTTCTCAGTGCAGAAGTAATGTTATGACATCTGATATCTGATGTTGCAGCTAAAAAAATAAATTATATGTTTATGATTGTGATTATTAGGTTATGGTTATTTATTAATAATTAATTCCATCTTTTCTTATAAATAATCACTTTGCATGGTGCCACTCAATTTAGTTTTTTTTCAAAGAGAAACATAAACTTGATCACTGTACGTGACATTTGATATATTCCATGTCAAATGTGCTTCTTATTCTAAGCATATATATGTTATTATAGAATAAAATGTTCAACATTGAAATAAAAATATAATACGTAAGGTTTAATGATAACTATGTCTTTTATAGACAATCGCAGATCTTGAAACAAGATTGCAGGAGCGAACAGCAAAATTACTATCATTTGGTCAGCCTTCACAACCTATTGCAGTAATAGTTGGTCCTTCTTTCGACGAAATTAAGCAGTGCTTTATCGTTATAAACACATTCCGATATGAAGTGGAAACACCGATAAAAGCTGTGGACCTCATCTTCAAATTGTGTAATACTTTGAACATTCGATACCCTTTAGAGGTAGGACAGCTGTTCATGTTTTTGCAAAGAGGTGTGTATGGCATTGAAACTGTTTGGGATAAACAAAAAAATTCGCAGCTTACATCTTCTGTTCTGGCAACAGTTCAAGAATATAAATCATTGAAATCGTAATTATTGTTACGGAAAATACACTGGCCCACTTGCATCATGCCCACTTGCTTTTTGTGTAAAGAAACTATTCCATCTGTGAACGGTCTCTTGACGCATTTTAACATTAAACATTATGAAAATTTATTTACTATTTATAAATGCGGCGAAAATGGATGCGTCAGAGAATGGTCCTCATGGAATTCGTTACGAAGACATTTGCTTGGATCAAATCATAATTTTCCTTTATGGCCTACTACTACGAAGCATACTTTTGTGCAACCTGTACAATCTATTGACACAGAAATAACTAGTGAATCGGTAATTCACCAAGATACGAATATTCCTGAAACATCCTTAGAAGATATTATTAATAAGAATTTAATGGTAAATTCTACTCAATTTAAATCTTTTGTACAAAATCAATGTGACACTTTTGTTGCAAAACTGTATATCACAGATCTTCCATTCCACGGAATCACATTCAATCCATTATTGAGGAGAGCATATTATTTCTAACAAGTGGCCATATTCCTGTGTTAAAAGATAAAGTTCTTTCGCAGTTGAATGCACTTGATTGCGATGGCCAAACAATACAAGATATTACATCCATGTTTAATACACTAGAAAATCCTTTTTATCATCTTAGAAACGAGTACCAACGTATGGAATATTTTAAATCTTGTGGTAATTATACAATTCCAGTTAAATATTGTATAGGTAACAGAAAAGTATGTAAAAGAACCAAAACATGTGTTGTAGAACGTGTGAAAGATGTTTGCGGTTATTTTATACCTTTAAGGCAAACATTACAAAAATTTTTTGAAATGTCTGATGTTTTTTATGCCATAATGTCTTATATTAATTCACTCTGTTGCGTAGCGTCTCTCACGAGTCGGACACGATGGGCGCGTTCCAGCGCATACATGCGATGAATCAGTGATAAAACTCGGACTTTACTCTGTCGTGCAAGTGGGGGAAGGATACGGAAGGACGGTGTTGCGTCGTAGAAGGGTCGTGCGCGACGTTTCTACGACGCAATGTATGTACACAACAAAGGACGATAACATAAGCGGCACGGGACGCACGCATCGACACCGGCGACCGTCTGTCGACGCATCCGCGCAATCTTGTTTACAAAGTTTAGGGGCGACGTGCGGTGCGAGTTCGAACGTGTACGGCGCCGGTGAGCTCGGGCGCGCGGCTTCCGTAATCCCCGCACCCTTTGTTCTCCGATGTCTGCGAGCCGCTGATCGATGATCGATAGGCGAACCTAAGGGCCCACCAATAAGATTTTGGGAAAACTTCCTGGAATCTTGGCGGGGGATCGCAGTATATATAGTCGAACGTGATAGTCCGAAGACAGTACAGAACCGAACAGAAGTCAGAACAGAGCGATCTTCTACGTGCATACTCGCGTCGAGAATATCAAGGAAATCGATCGTGAGAGTCGCGAATCGCAGCATCCGTGAAGGTGACCCAGAGCACCAGCTCTGAGGCGTCGTCACCGAACACACGAATCGTCCGCGACCCAGGGCAACAGCCCTGAGACGTCGTCGCCGGGCCAATAACTTATCGTTACGACAAACGATAAACAAAAACAATAAGTGCGTTACACGCGAATCGTCCGCGACCCAGGGCAACAGCCCTGAGACGTCGTTGCCGGGCCAATAACTTATCGTTACGACAAACGATAAGCAAAACTTTAAGTGCGTACATGCGAATCGTCCGCGACCCAGGGCGACAGCCCCGAGACGTCGTCGCGGGCATCTCTATCGCGAGTGCGAGACACTGTGAATTTGTGGCGTATTTTAAGACCGAATAAACCAATATATTTACGAACAATACAATCTATTTATTACACGAAAGGACAGCGCGAACACGAATACTGTTCGTGTTGATACTGAACAGTTTGGTGCCTCCTGTGAGGTCTGTGCCTCAATCCACGCAAGAAGCGGGATCCAACCTGCAGGCCGCCTCACATCTACTAAGAGCGGGTCTTCCAAGTTAGCCGAAGGAGAAGTGTGTTCAATCGTACTCGACAGACGGTAAGAGTAAGTCATTCTTTCCCAGCATTTACATTCCGTCGCATGCCGAGATGGCGGACAAAATCAAATTCCTCATTCAGAAACGAACTTCCCTGAAATCCCAAATAACCAATTTAGCCAATATCGTCGAAGGGGGGAAAATTGATAACGCGACATTAAGGTTGCGAAACGAGCGTTTAACGCAACTGTATCGGGCCTTCGAAGAGCATAACGATGAACTCGCGGTATTGGATCCCAACGCAAATTATCGGGTCGAGTTCGAGGGTATCCAGGAGCGATTTTATGCATTGGCGGGAAAAATCGAGAGTATTTTACGTCCGGGAAATGCGCCGTCGGGAGATACGTCCGAACCGAGCACCAGCGTATCAAACGAAGAAGTGCGGCGCGGTGACATCGTACCGCCGGTTGAGAAACGGCGGATTAAACTGCCCGAAACGCCGTTACCAAAGTTTGATGGTAGATTCGAGGGATGGTTATCATTCAAAAATGCGTTTTGCAGTATGATAGGCTCGCGAACGGACCTTGCGGAAATAGACAAATTGCATTACCTTAGATCGGCGTTAACTGGCGAAGCCGCGAACAAGATTAGGATCTTCGAAATTGACGGAATTAATTATGCCAAGGCCTGGAGCTTATTAGAACGGTCAGGAGGTCAGGAGGATCTTGATATCGCGGCATCTCTCTCTGCTATTAAATTTGCCCGCGCTAGACAAAGAAACAACGAACGGTTTGTCCAGTCTCGCGGACGACGCACAGCAACACGTTGCGTCACTAAACTCTTTGGGAGTTTCGGTCGGACACGAGATGATCGTACCTTTGCTAGAGACCAAGCTACCAAGGATAACGTTGGAAAAATGGGAGGCGACTCTCGAAAGAGACGAGTTTCCAGAGATCGACCAGATGTACGAGTTCTTATATAAAACCGCGGTTTGCGTCTCGAGACGCGAGAGAGCGAAGGTAACCGACATGGCGGGAAGCAGGGGAGAACCCTCGAGCAAAAAAAAGGCGAAGTCATCCCTCGAATCAAGCATTTGTCGTAAGCGCGGCGCGTAATTGCGTAGCATGCAAAACGAAACGGCATCCCCTGTATTTATGCGACAAATTCAAACAATTACCTATACCTAAACGTATCGAAACAGTGAGAAACGCGAAGGTTTGTTACAACTGCCTGCGCTCACATAGAGACAGCCCCCGCAAATTTTCGAACTGTACAATTTGCCAAAAGAAACATAACACTCTTCTGCATTTAGACCCATATCCGGTTACGAATCGAACTTCCACTTCTAAGGCTGTAGATACACAGACCGCATGAATAGCCGAGTCGATTAATACCGCGAAGGTAAGGCATGCTATGGTGTCGTGCACACCCGCACCACAATTACTAGCGAGTGCCGTGGTATATGTCCGGGATCGCGGGCGTAATCCGATAAAATTCCGCGCCTTGTTAGATACTTGTGCCACAGCAAATTTTATTTCGGAATCTATTCTAAAGCGATTGAACATTCATGTAAGCAAAGGCGCGTTGTCAGTTGGTATGATCAATGACGTAAATACAGAATCGAGCGGCATAGTACGGATCACTATGCGATCCTTGCACGATAATTAACGCAGGGATCTCACGTGTCTGGTAATTCCGGTTATCGCCGATTTAATTCCCTCAGAAGTCTTTCCGAGAGACACGATCAAATTACGATGGTAACATCGAACATTAGATTGGCGGATCCGAATTTCCACCTGCCACGCGCGGTTGATTTGCTGATTGGCTCAGGGCTCACCTTATCTCTGTTCTCCGTCGGACAGATCAACTCGTCGCGTGAAGATCACGATCTGTATTTGCAGAAAACACGACTCGGATGGGTGGTGGTAGGTGGTGTACCGTCGCAAGTTCCTTCAAAATCTACGCGTTACGTGACGCATCTCGAGAATCAATTAAACAAATTTTGGGCAATTGAAGAAGTCAGGGAAAGTAAGATGAAATCGGACGAGCAAATCGATTGCGAAGCGCACTTCGAAAGGACGGTGTCCCACGATGCCGACGGGCGTTACAAGGTTCGCTTACCGTTTCGCAAATCAAACACGCGACTAGGGGGATCGCGTTCCATCGCGCTGAAACGTCTGTCGTCGCTGGAGCGTAAACTCAATTCAAACGCAGCGAAACGAGTACGCGCGAGTAATCGAAGAGTATTTGACTCTCCATCATACGTCAGCAATAGAGGATCCTGATGGCGACGGTTACTATCTGCCGCGCCACGCGGTAATCAAAGAAGCGAGTAACACGACTAAGGTTCGAGTGGTGTTCGACGCGTTGGCGAAGACGAATAACGGAGTGTCGTTGAACGACGCGTTAATGGTAGGACCTACAATTCAAGACACGTTCTCGCATTTAACTCGATTCCGCATATATAATTATGTCATCACGGCAGACATCGAAAAAGATGTATCGCCAGGTGTTATTGCACGAAGACGATCGCCGTTATCAGAGATTCCTCCGGCGCGTAGATGGTAGAATTAAAACGTTTCAGCTTAGCACGCTTACATTCGGTGTTCCGCCTTCTTCCTTTCTCGCGATTCGAGTTTTACGGAAACTTGCGGAGAACGAACGTCATACGTATCCTCGGGCGGCCGAGATTCTTACCACACATCTTTATGTAGATGATTTGTTATCCGGCGCTGATACGATTGTAGAGGCGCGCGCCGTCCGTGACGAAATAATCGCGTTACTGAAACGGGGTGGTTTCTCCAGAAGGCAACGGGCATCCAACGACGAGCGCGTTATTAACGATTTAGCCTCCAATGCGTTGCGTACCAATCTCGTGTTAAACGTGGATCATTCCGTAAAGACGTTAGGTATAACACGGAATACGCGAGACGATCAAATGCATTATGCGGTGCGTCCGATCGAAATTACTCAAAGATTTGTGACGGGGGTGACCGGGAGGGGCGGCCGGAAGTGGCCGCATTCCTCGCATTCCGGTGTGACGTGGAAGGG